ATTATCCAGACTCCAGAATTTCCAAACTCTACTTCACAAAGTTTATGTAAGCTTCTAGAACTCCTTTATATTAAATTAGGGATTACTTTATGGTTTCCATACATTTAAAAAAATGTTTTTTGATGAATATAGTCATTTATTTTTTGTCATGCTCCTAAACTGGAGGTCAGTAGTTCCACTTGATGGTACTCTGACGAGAACAAAAGTATTAGAGTGCTCTATCAAAACTGTTTTTGAGTGTCTAAAATTAAGCTTAGCCTGTTCCTGCTCATAATGGTGATAGTCAAATGTTTCACCTGCAAATTCACTGCCATCTCTCAATTCATACTCTAGCTGGGAACAAAGGTATGTTGCGGAAGAGACTCAGCATTTTGGGGTACTCAATCTTTGTAGCTCCTATGCACAGGGCTGAGAAACCAATCTTCTCAAGCAGTAGAAGCTAAGTTAAATGCCTGGGGATTTCTTGGTCGTAGAGTTCAATACAAACAGGAAGCCCAGGCGGAAAGGATCCCTGATAGGTAAACAGTGTGAAGGTCTACATTTCTTTTGAAATATGCTTCTATAACAAGGAATGGTCAGGGATCACTTAACAAATCTTTATTGGGGCTGTGAGTCTAACTTGGTGTTGAGCACTCATCTAGCATGCAAGAAGCCCTGGGTTCTGGCCCCAACCTTGAAACAAAAAAAAAAAAAAAAAAAAAAGAGGAAAAAAATAGGGGGGAACCCATAACACATTCTACCCCACATCACTAAATGACCTCTAATGAGCCAAAGTAGAAGAAGTCTTTCCCATTCATCAAAATTCCTGGGAAGAAGGCTGGGGACATGGCTCAGGTAAAGCATTTGCCCTGCAGGCATGGGGACCTGAGCTTGGAATCTTGGGGCACCATGGCCAAACCAGCCTAGCTGTATCAAATCTACAAGTTCCAGGTTCAGTGAGAGAACTTGTCTCAAAAAAATAAGGTGGAGAGCAAATGAGGAAGACACCTAATGTCAACCTCTGGGCTCATACACACACATGAACATGTGTTAATGTACATGTATATACATACATACTCACTCATTCCTGGGAAGGAGATTCAGTAACCTTCCTCTTTTTACAGTCTTCTAGTATCCTCACTCGACAAGAGACCTCTAGAAAACTTTTTTTTGTCCTTTGAGACAAGGTCTCAATGGGCAGGTCTCAAACATGACATGTAGGTAAGGCTGGCCTTAAAATCATAATCTTCCTGCCTCCATCTCACAAGTGCTGGGAGTACAGATGTAGGAAACCATCCCACCCAGTATTCCTTTATTCTTTTTGACACGGTCAAAAAAATTCAGGCAGGCCTCAAACTCCCTACCTAGCCAATAATGACCTTGAACTTCTGATCCTCTTGCTTTCACTCTTCTTAAATGCTGAGATTATGGGGTGTGTACTACCATATCTGTCTAGTTTATGTAATGCTGGTGATCAGACTCAGGCTCCTCCTGCATTCTAGGCAAACATGCTACCACTGAGTTACATCCACAACACAGCATTTCTTTTTATCTAACCATACACTTCTGCAATAAGACTGTTTTGCTTAAATTCTTCAAAATAATAGAAAACTTTCTGACACCCCTTAATTTGAGTTACTTAACTCACAAAGCAGCACAAAAAGCTAAATCAAATCTATGAGTTTATCATCTAGAATTTACAAGGAGTTTTACAATTTAAAAAGCAATTTGGAATATATTATCTCATTAGAGCTGTTCCTTTCAACAGTCCTGTAAGGGAGCCGCAATAAGTGTGAGCTGGGAAGTGCATACATTAACTACTACTGTTTTAGACAGGAGGAAGCGAATAGAGGCATGTGACTTGCCCAAAGTCATAGTTACTGGGAAAGTCAAACCAAGCTTGGCTTAAGTATACTTTTCTGGTTTGGTCTTCACAGGAGTGAGCTACCTTTATACAGAGAAAAGCTGTTTCACAGATGCAAACTAACTAACCCACCCAGCCACTGCAAAAACATTTACCCTAGGGAACTAAGAATAATCTCCATTTGCAATATGATAGATATTTTAGGAAAATCTTGAAATTCAAATTAAGGGACAATAAGATGTTAAGGGTAAAAACTGAAAGGGATACAGGCAGCTACACTTTATTTCATCGTTCAGTAACTACTGATGAATACTACTTCATGCTTTCTATAGATCAGCAGGGAAAGGGAGTAAAAGGCTGGTAAAGGTAAATAATCCAGCCTTTACTTAAGCCACACTCTGTCTCCTAATACATGGTTCTCCACTGTCCTTTTATCTTTTAGAAAATACATATCACCTAGGAAACTTCTAATTTATCCTATTTTGACTACATTTGAAACTGTATCATGAATTCATTAAAATACTCTGAAATGAAAGAATTTATACTTGCTGATATGTGCATCTATTCCAAATTTGTTTGTCAAGAATCTTTGGAGCCCTGCCTGCATATAAGACACTAAGCTGGGCAGGTAGGACATAAACAAACAAATCTAATATAGTCCCTGCTTTCACAGCAAATAGTGTTGCTTTTGTGTGGCCTTTGGGAGTCCTGTGTTTTGGAGATGGGTCTCAATGAGTTACTCTGGCTGGCCTCAGATTCATTATGTAGCCCAGGCTGGCTTCCCTCTTACAATCCTGCTTCAGGCTCCCTAGTGCTAGGGTTTATAAGCTGGCACTGCCACTTCTAGTTCCCCAATCAGACAGCATGCTCTCCAAGAGCAAGAACTGAATAATCTTCTAAAACACTCTTAGAGCATCTTTCACAAGCATCTCTGCACAGCATCTGATAACCTAAAAGAGAAGAGAATCCCTGATGCCATAATCTGCAGCACTTCCTTCCAACCAGTCCCTTCAGCATGGTGTAAGTTTCTACCACATGGGAGGTGGAGGCAGAGGGATTGTAAATTCCAGCAAGTTGGGAAATCCACTTGAGTGACCCCCCACTCCCACCCCCCCCCAAAAAAAAGAAAAGAAAGGAAAGAAAGAAAAAATATTGTGAATTATTTAAATTCATAGGGAACAGAGCCCAGGACATTAAAATGTCCAACATTATGAGCCTACAGCTAAGGCAGCAAGATCCAGGGCAGCCAGCTAGAGACAGCAAGTAATGATTTGAGTCCCAGGATTGACCTCTTAATGAGGAAGAGAATCAGGCGGGTACAGGCAAGGAAAGCCCCGCCTGCAAAGCTGCACAATCCCAATGGGGGAACATAGTGCTTTAACTATAAAGATTACAGGTACAAAGTACAAGGTAATACTTTGCCTGCAGAAGAGCACCTAACCCAGCTGTCAGAGAAGGAGCAAATGTGGTGCCTCACTCGTTCTAGAGGTTGGGTCTACAAAGTTCAACAGACAGGATGGGGCAACAAGAGCCAGGTGATTCCAAATCAGAAGTCTTTGGTTTGAGTCTAGATGCTGACGCTCCTGGGGCACTGGACAAACCAAGATTCACTAGTCTCCTCATCTGCAAAATGGGAACAGTTATCTTCTGATCTGTCTACCTGACAGAAACACTGTGAGGCTCAAATAGCAAATGTTCTATGAAAGCACTAAAGAAATCGTTCATGCTATACAGATCCTGAGATCCGTATCAATGAATATGTGGAGGCTTCCAGAGAAGCATCTCATGTCAACTCAAAAGCCCTTACTGCCTCCTACTAGCATCCCTTGGTGCCTGGTTTCCTCCATCCCCTTACATAGCAGAATTAAGAGAAACTGTTCACATCCAAATCTTGATTTGGGAATACTAATCTCCAAATTCCAAAAGGATGAACAAGAACAGGGCAACCATTCACCTCCTTGCTCTCACAAGCTTTAGTCACCCTTTCCCTGAGGCAAACTACAGAAGGCCACAACGGAAAAGGGAAGGGAGATCCCAACTGGCTACATATCCTTAGTGGTTGTCTGCCTCTTTCCCACCGCCAAGGCAGGTTCCTGTATGGGGACTGCTGAACAGATCTAAATGGGATGCTGAGACAACATAGAGATTAGTGTTTGCAAGTGAGATTATATGCATTTTAGGCCACATTCCACAGCCAAAAGGAACTTACTGAAAGCACACATATCCAAAGGTTAACTGAGAGAGAGCAACTGCTCCCCAGCAAATATTCTTTGCTACCTTGCCACTAATACTTTTTCCAGACCCAGTTCTTCCATTTGCTTATTCAACCACTATCTATTCAGTTAGAATGACTGAAACACCCACAAAACACACTCCCCTGGAGATTTGCAAGGAGGGACAAGTGAAGGGAAGGGGATGAAATGAGAAGGCAGACACCTATCAAAATTGTATTAATCCTTTGGAGGAAGAAACTACAGCCACACAGTCATGTTACCACTGACAGGGGAGGCTGGGCAAACTCCTCAGGGAAGCTGATTCCAAGGGCCTAAGAGCCAAAACAACTCCTTCAGCCTTCAGGCACAGAGGCCCTTTCCAGAGTCAAGATTATTAAGAACAGAAAATTAAACCTAGATCATCAGCTCTGAGTGTTTCTGTGCCAACATTCAGGCAGAGAACATCTTCCTCAGTGTAAATGGGATCCACCCTATCCCTATGCCCCACCATACCATAACAATTAGCCTGGCAGAGTCCCACGCCCCTGCCTGCTACCATCTCCCCCTTCCCCTAAATACCTAAAGCTAGTCCCCATCTACTCCTGTGGGCTCACACGACCAGGCTTGCTGGGGGCTTCTCACCCCTAGCATGGCAAATTGAAGATCCAAATTCAGCCTCTAGACTGACAAAACGTAAAAGCCACTGGAAACACTTCTCCCTCCTCCTCTCCAGCTTCACCGCATATGGTTATAAATGACACAGAATCAGGAGGTATGTTTTGAACATGGACACACACAGAGGGAACATAAACATACAGACAGTCCCAGGAGACGAATGCTCCTTCCTGCCTTATTCCCAGAGCCCATCCTGATCCTTGGTCAAAAAGCAACACCCTTCCTCCCAGTCTTTTAATAAGTATTGGGGAAGAAAACTGCAAACCTACCTGTCTATACTCTGGGGTAATCTTACGCTCATGGTTTCTTGGCGTCTCCACAATTCCAGAATCCTGTAACTCCTTTGGGTGTCTTGATCAGGACTGAATCCCTTGCAATTTGTAAGAAAGCGAGCGGAGGGCCTCCCAAGTTGAGGACTGAATCCTTTCTCTTCCAGCTGTCAGGACCCTGGTAACTGCAGCTCCATTCTACTTCTACCAGTTAACATGGTTTCCTGCTTTCTTGACCCTTTCCCCTCCCCTTGCCGTGTTAAAAAGGAAAAAAAGAAAGAAAAAGACGAAAAGAGAAAAAACTATGACCTTCTTAGAAACCAAAATCCTAACCACAAATCTCTTCAAGGTTAGCACTACAGGCTAAAAAATGAATCACAGAAAGAATGTGCCTTCAAAACATCAGTCTTAACTGCAAACAGATAAAAATCCTTTTTCCCAACTGTCTTTCTGTTTGCAAGGGAGCCTTAAGCTCCGAAGGGTGAAAAAAATCTCTGGTTTCCAATGCTTAAAATGACAACAGCAGAATTACTCGAGGGAAGGATAAAAAAGGATGAATAAATCCGAAATGGCACTTGGAAAAAAAAAATCTTCCAGCTGATTTACACAGCTTAAAATAAATAAACCCATACAACAGTATGTACACACACTAAGACCAGCGCAACCCTGGGAACCAAAATTTCTTTAAAAAAACAGCAATCTTTTACATTCAGGATTTTGAATTCTAAAATGAGTCAATCGCACATAGGAAAAAAAAATCACAAAACACCTGAAGTGCAATGCTTTTTGCCTTTAAAATGGTAGCATTAGCACAAACCCGAGGGAATCATAAATCGCTCTTTTTCCCTTAAACTTGCAGGTTCCTCCACCTCGCCCAGTCGGGTTAGACCCAGGCTCCGTTAGGCCTTTTTCTGAGATACAATTTCCTCAGTTCTTTCTGCTTCTCCACATCCAGGCTCCGAAAATTACTCTGGCCGCAGCCTCCATGAAACCGAGATCCCACTTCCTCGCGATTCCGCACTACTCCTCGCGGGGACTATTGTTGCCGCTCGGCTTCGGCAAGGCTTCCTCCACACCGGCTCCGGAAGCCCGGGCCGCGGCCCCGGCCTCGGTCCCCGCCCGCCCGCTGCGGCCTCCCGGCGCTTGGCCCTCAGCGCCCGCTGCAGGAGCTTCGCTCCCGGCGTCCCGACCGCTCGGCTTCCGGCCCTTCCCCCGCTCGCCCTCGCCCGGGCCAGGCCCGCAGCCGCCCTCCCACCCCCCGCCGCCAGCGCCCGCCTCCGCCTGTTTGCTGGGGGCGGGGCCGCAGGCTCCTCCCCCTCGGCGCCGCAGTCCTCGCGGCCTCCTCTCACACGGCGCCGCCGACCACCTGGTCTGCGAGCTCGCCTCCGCAGCCCTCGGCCGCTCCTCCGTGGCCACCCTGCGCCCGGCGGCCTAGCTGGTCCTGGCGCCGCCGCCGACTCGGAGACCCCGGCTTTGGCTCCTGCGCTGACAGCCGGCCGCGCTGAGCGCCAGTTGTCGCGCCGCCGTCCAGAGCTCTGCCCCGGTCAGGCCCAGCTCTCGCTGCGACTGCGCCCTTCCAGTAGTTTGTTTTTCAGTGATTTGTTGCGGTCGGCGTTGAAGGTATCAGGAGCTCTCTAGCTGTGTCCTTGCGGTTCTGTGGCCCTGTCCCGTCAACCCAGTGACTTTGATTTCGCAGTGGTCCCTCTTCGCTGACCCCCCCCATATTAGCCTGAGTATCTTGCTATTTTCAAGAGCCCCCTACCCAGAGTAGGATCACGGTTTCTAAATCTAAGTAACATGGAGTTAGGCAAAAGTCCCAAGCGTTACCATTGAAGGAAAAAAAGGAACATTGGCACTGAAGAGGTAACTTTTTTTTGCCTGGGTAAACTACTGCAGGCTTGCGTTGATCTTTCTTCCACCTGTTCAAGTTTCGGGTGCCTCCACGTGTGTTACATGTGAGAAGCTTATAGAAAGAGCTTCCAGAAAGAGCTTAGCACCTACTAAAACCAAGAGATTTCCCTAAATTATTTCCAGTACAAGTTGACAAATGGAAAATTTCCTACAGTTTGAATTTGTGTCTGTGTGTCTGTGTGCTCATTTGTGTGCCCACGTTCATGTGTATATGCAGGTGTTGTGTGACTTCCGGGGGAGAGACAAACATTTCTTCACCCTATTTGGGTCACCCACAACAGACGAAGGAAACAGCAGTTCTGCCGAAATCCACCTTAATGAGGCAGGGAGCATGAACAACTCAAAAGCAACTGTATTACCCAGAAAACCTACCCTAGTATGGGTGTACACGACTGCCAATGCACATGTGTGCGTTTGGAGGCCAGAGGACAATCTTGAGTGTCATTCTCTAGCTGCCACCCCCCCCCACACACAAACACCTTTAATGTGTATGGATGTAATTGCTTGCATGTAGGCAGGTACACCCCTGTAGTGCAATGCCCTCAGAGGTCAGAAGAGGGTGTGGGATCCCCTGGAACTGGAGTTACAGACGTTTGTTAGCTACCATGTGCGTGACTGGAATCAAACCTGGGTCCTCTGCAAGAGCATCAGTGCTCTTAACCGTTGAACCATCTCTCCAGCCGACAAACACCTTTTTTTGAGACAGATTCTCTCACCTGCCTTAGCTTGCCAAGTAGACTAGAATGGCTGGTAAGTGAGCATGTAAGTCTCCCTTCTAACCCATGGGGATTGAACTCGGGTTCAATCAAGCAACCATTTGATGAAATGAGCCCTCTCCATACCCTTTGTTTGTTTTCTTTGAGATGGTATTTTCACTTTGTATCTCCGGCTGCCCTTGAATTCCCTATGTACCTGAGACTGGCCTCAATCTCTAAACCATCATCATATTACCTCAACCTCCCAAGTGTTAGAATTCCAGGTATGGCCTACCATGCCCTTTGGATCGTAGGTTTTCCCCAAAGGCCTTTGTATCAAAGGTTTGGTCCTCTGCTTGGAACTTTTGGGGGGTGGTTGCAACAAGAGGTGAGGTTTAGTGGGAGCTCGTTAGGTCATTGGAAATGTGCCTTCAGAGGGAACTATGGAGCTTTTGTTGGGGGTTTGGGGTGAAAACTTCAACCTTGGCAAGCTAGGCTCAATCACACATCCTGCAGTGCTTAATACCGAGGACTTGACCAGATCTAGAAGCTCCCAGGAGACATGCCGCTGGGCATGCCTGTGAAGAATTATCTAGATTAGGGAGCCTCTGGGCATTCTTTTGAGATATCATCTAGGTTAGGTTAATTGAGGTGGGAAGACCCACCTTCACTGTGAGCTCTTCCATTCCTTGGGCTGTGATCCTGGACTAAATGAAAAGGAGAACGTGATCTGAGCACCAACATTTGTCACTCTCTACTTCCTAACTGCTCACACACCAGCTGCCTCATACTCCTGCCATCCATAGTTTCTCCACCAAGATGAACTATACCTTCAAACTGTGATCCAAAATAAAATATTCTTTCATTAAGCTGCTTTTTTTCATGTATCTTTTTACAGCAATGAGACAAGTAACTAACTCATCCTCACTAGGTCTAGTAACCAGGCAAGTAGTAATGGAAAGCAAAGAAAAGAGATTATTCAATGTGACTACATTGGGAAGAACAAAGAGATCCAGTTATCCTCCCCCACCTCCTAGGACTCTTTGGAGTCTTGACATGAGGTTTAAATAAGAGTCAAGAGGTTGTACAACCAAGTAGTCCTGCTCAAGATGTGTTCCCACCCACCTTGTCCCAGCTTCAGTCTCTGCTGCAGAGTGGTCTGACAAGTTGTCAGAAATGTGTGAAATCTCTTTCTGGAAGACAAGGTTCTCCTCTGGTTGGTACTAGAACTCAGCCTTTTCCTTCTCCTAGCATGAGACTCCCAGGGAAAGTCCAGTTTCTTGGGGTCCATCGTTTCAATAGTCTGATAGACAAAAGGAGACACATGTCTATTTAGAATGTGAATCCTACCAGGATGGTTACAAGATTCCATTTTCTTCCTCTCTCTTGTTCCCTCACTATAAATAGTTTTGCTCTGCTCTGTGCTTCTGACATCCAGTCAGGTTTTAGATCAAAATTCAAGTAGTAAATTTACATATGGAGTCATTTGGAACATTTTGAATGATTAGAAGGTATTAACTTATGTATATTATTTTTATTTTTTATGTGTGTGAGTGTTATGCCTACATGTGTGTAAGTGCACCTGTGTTGTGTAGTACCCACAGAGGACAGAAGAAGGTGTTGGATCCCCTACAACTGGAGTTATGGAAGGTTGTTAGCCACTATGTGCGTGCTGGAATTTGAGCCTGGGTCTTCTGTGTTAACAGCCAGTGCTCTTAACCACTGAGCCATCTCTCAAGCCCCATTATTTTTATTTTATGTGTATGAGTTTGTGTCATGTAATACCCACAGAGGCCAGAAGACAGCATCATATCACTTTGAACTGAAGTTAGGGATGGTTGTTAGCTGCCATGTGGATGCTGGGAACCAAACTCAGATACTCTAAGAACAGCCAGTGCTTTTAACCACTGAGCCACCTTCCTAGCGCCTACATTTGTATGTATTTTATTTAGTTTTATTTTATGTGTGTGAGTGTTGCCTGCATGTATGTAAATGTACCCATGTACAATGCCCAAGGAGGTCAGAAGAAGGCATTGGACCCCTTGAAACTGGAGTTATGGATGGTTGTTTAGCCACCATGTGGGTGCTGGGAATAAAAATCAGGTCCTCTGGAAGAGCAGCCAGTGCTCTTAACTGGTGAGCCATCTCTTGAACTCCACATTTTCATATTTTAAAAAATACTTTATTATTTTTAAAAAAAATTTTATTTATTATTTTTATTTTATGTGTATGCATGTATTGCCTGCATGTAAGTAAGTGCACCGTGTCGTGCAGTGCCTGTGGAGGTCAGAAGAGGCTGTCGGATCCCCTGGGACTGGAGTTACAGTTATTAGCTGCCATGTGGGTGCTGGGATTCAAACCCGGGTCTTCTGCAAGAACAACCAGTGTTCTTAACCTCTGAGCCATCTCTCTAGCCCCACATTTTCATATTTTTAACAAAATAGTTTAAACACACTAAGGGGCTTGCAAAATGGCTCAATGAGCAAAGGAGCTTGCTCCATGAGTCTGATGACCTGAGTTCAATCCCTAGGACCCACTTAAAGGTAGGAGGAGAGGACTGACTCCACATGCATACTGTGGCATGGGCACCCCCACCCCCCAACATCAGACACACACACAATAATAAAAATAAAAATAAAATGGGCCCTTCCATCTCCCCGGCTGTCCTCTGCTCCTGGTTTGGGCCCTGCGCATTCCTGGTCTTGGGTCCCCAGACACCTGGGGAACCGGTGCTGCTTCCTGATCCTTTTCACCCAGGCCAGCTTGGTGCCTTGGTCTTGTGTCCCCAGACACCTGGGGAACTGGTGCTGCTTCCTGATCCTTTTTGCCCAGGCCAGCTTGGTGCCTTCCTTGGGCTCCAGGAGCACTGCTTCAGCAGGACCTGGCCCCGCCCTCACCTCTCCCTGCTTGCCGGACCTGTACCACTGGCTAATTCTCCTGGCCCGCAGTCCTGCCCTCAAGTCTCTCTTGGAGTAAGTCTACCACGCAGCCCTCGCACCTTGACTCCCCCAGCTGCGCTCACCCTTCCATCTCCCCCACTGTTCTCTACTCCAAGCTTGGGCCCTGTGCCATTCCTAGTCTTGGGGCCCCAGGCACCTGGGGAGCCAGTGCTGCTTCCTGAACCTTTTCACCGGACCGGCTTGGTGCCTTCCTTGGGCCCCAGGAGTACTGCCTCTGGACCCGGCCTGCCCTCACCTCGATCTGCTTCCCTGGTCCTGCAACACCCACCAGCCTCTTTCCGGGGCTGACAGCCTCTTTCTGGGGCTCCGAGGCTTACCTTGCCTCTCCCTGATCCTTCGCATCCAGTAAAACCCAGCTAATCAATGCACTCCCTGGGAAATCTTGGGGCTTATTCCCACCCCATCTGCCTTTGCATCCCTGCGTGGCAAGGCCACGGCCAGGATCTCAGGTCAGTCCAACACCCAAGTTTCTGAGGCCAAAATCATTCTTAGAAGATTCCAGACCCAAGGAGAAAGTCTGAAAACTTCTGACCCACATTGGAA